CTGCAATGTGAAGCTGCAAAGGATATATTTTTCAAATGCGGATGGAAGGCAGCTGCAACAAAGCTTGGTTATGGTCAAGAAACCGAGGTCTTTCAGAACCCTCATCCCCACTTCATTCCAAGTTATATGGCAAACTATACCAATGCCATTCTAGAAAAGTTACTTCAAGAGAGGGGGGAGGAAGAATCCCCAGAGCCAAACAACGCCCCACCTGTTACCAATGATCACGGTCTCCCAACTGCTTTATCAACTTGGGTGAAGCCACCGGTGCCAAGTACGGTTGATGATGCGCCTATGATCGACCTACCTGCTAGAACTGGGCTACCGAGTGGTGAAGCCGGGGTTGACCTGGATGCAGATTTGGACGATCTATTTGCTTGATCTTGTTTTTCTTATTTTGATGTTGACTTTTGAAAGAATTTGTAACGGGGCTTAAGCCCCTCCTCTTGTAGTGGACATTTTCTCAAATGGAATAAAATCTGTAATTTTTCCTTTTTTTTTTTTAGTTCGGTTTCACTCTTAGTTGTAATTGCCCTTCAACTTTGATTTGCATGTCTTGAACTCTTTTCTAGGCTGTCATGTCTTAATTTTTTATGGCCGAGATAGTCATCTCGGTCCAAGAGCCCTGTAATCTATTAACCTTACTACGTGTTGGTCATAGTTGCCAACTTTTTTCAGCTTAGATCCTTATCTCGGCTAAAGAGAACTAAATGTTGGTCATACATGCCAACTTTCTTCAGCCTAGATTCTTATCTCGGTTGAAGAGAGCTAAATGTTGGTCATCTCTGCCAACCTTCTTTAGCTTAGATCCTTATCTCGGCTGAAGAAGAGAGCTGACCATTGGTCAAACCTACCTAACTTCTTTATTGCCCCTAGCTGGCAATGATTAAGAACAACTTTTACAGTAGAAAGAATTATGCTGGAAAAACTACTTGCTTTATTTAAAAAAAGAAAAATTACACGTATTTTAAGGAAAAACTAAAAATAAAATAGTTTGAGATTGACAATGTTCCATGGCTTGGGAATAGCTTTGCTGCCTCCATCCTCCAAGTGATATGCCCCTTTTCCTGCTAAACTGACCACCTTGTATGGTCCTTCCCAGTTAGCTTATAACTTTCCATCTCCAGGTACCAATGTGTTGCCCATTACTTTGCGCAGTACTAAATCTCCAAAATTAAATTGCCTTGGATGCACTGTCTTCTTATATTTTCTGGATAACTCTTGTTGGTATGAGGCAATGTGAACTAGGGCTTTTTCCCTTCTCTCTTCTGCAAGGTCGAGTTCCAAGGTTATGGCTTCACCATTCAAGTTTGGCTTGAAATTTTCGTTTGTGATAGTAGGGAGGCCTACTACCAGTCGGATTACTGCCTCTATGCTGTAGGCCAAGGAAAAAGACGTTTCTCCAGTTGATCGTTGGGGTGTGGTACGGTAAGTCCACAAAACATGAGGAAGTTCCTCCACCCACTTGCCTTTTTCTCTCTCCAACCTCTTCTTCAAACCGTTTAAGACGATTTTGTTGAAAGCTTTCACCTGGCCATTCGCTTGAGGGTATGCTAGTGTAGAGTTGTAGAATTCTATCTTGTATTCTTTGCAAAAGCCCCTGAATATTTTGAAATCGAACTGAGTGCCATTGTCAGATATTAGGGCCTTAGGTGTGCCGAATCGAGTTATGATGTTCTGCCAGACGAACTTCTTAATGTCTTTCTCTTTTATCGATGCGAGTGCTTCTACCTGCACCCACTTTCTGAAATAGTTTGTTGTTGTGATAAAGAACTTTCTGTTGTCGGGTGCAGTTGGAAGTGGTCCCACTATGTCCAGGCCCCACATTGCGAAGGGCCATGGGCTAGTCAATGGTAGAAGATCCCTGGCTGGTTGATGTATTTGGTGTGCAAACTTCTGACATTTCTCGTACTTCTTGACATACTTATCTGAATCGGCTTGCATGTATGGCCACCAATACCCTTGTGAGATTGCTCGGCCATAACCTTTTAAAGGTTGTAATTGGTTTTCATAACTGAAAGGTAATGAAAACCTTAAATTATTGGTTTTAAAACTAAAAGGTAATGAAAACCAACTTTAACCAATATGTTTTAATTTCTATTTCTGCCCCTCATAGAAATAGAAATTATACAACTAGTATCTGTACATTAGGTCCATAACACATATACCCTTAAGCCTATTAACTAAATTGAATCACTTAAATTGTAGGCTTCTTATAAATGATAACACCACATTTAATTATGTGGTCCCATTGAGACATTATCTAACAGAAAAATGATCTGTGAGCACCCCCAGCCACCGTTAGAAAAATGTTTCTCCCCCAAACACCATAGCTGCGTGATAAGTAAAAATCTAGAGAACCACTCTTATCTATTGAGAAAAATTTGGGATTATATGATGGAAAATAATTTTTTTAGTATGGAATCTATGTGAGGTCCATGTAAAATGTGGTGGAAATTAATTTATAAGTAATTTCTAAATTGATAAGGGTGGATTTGTAGTATTCGTGTGATAAATAAGTGGAAACAAACGGCCAAAAAATAATTCGGCACATTAGTGGCTAGCTCATGCCAGAGCAAGGTATTCTAATTGGTAAGGATGATCATAGATTCGTCCAATCTGTCCAACCCGATTAAACTGACCCAACCTAATTGATTTTGGGCGGATGCGTATTTTTTGATGGATGAATACGGATGAAATATTTTAAAATTCGTAAATACGATTTGGATGATGGATCTACTATCTCGCATCTACATGAATCCGATCCGCCCAGGGCCCGCCCTGAGATTTAGGGGGCCTAAGGCAAATTTTGAAAATTGGGGCCCCTCTTACATTGAAAAAAAAGGGTTCACGGATAAAACGATAAGTTACAACTTTTTTATTTGTCTGTAGTCACAAAAAAATTTACTTGCACAAATAATTATTAAAATTATAAACAAAACAATTTAATGAAACAAAATTAGGGCAAAAAAATTAAGAAAAAATCATTAAAATTATATTTTTATTTTAATAAATATGGGCCAAACTACACTTATAAATAAATATAGGATAAACCATATATGGAGCCAACAAAATATTTTGGGGCCCTTTAAATAGATCCTTAAAAAAAAAAGGGAAATTACCCATAGGTCCCATGTGGAACATGTGGACACCATTTAATCCCACAACTTTTTGAGTACACCCAAAAGTCCTTTCCCCTCTCTCTCTGCTTTTTGCTTCCCTCTTTACGCCTCCTCCTCTAACCCTAATCTCAGTCCTAAAGTCAAACAAGAAGGCGATGAAGAACAAGAACAAGAAGACGATGAAGAACAAGAACAAGAAGACGCTCATCCTCAGATCTGTACTTAGATTGAACAGATTTGTGTATATATCTTTGTCAATTTCTCTCTCTTTCTCTCTCTATTTACAGATTTTTTTTGGGATAGTTGTTGATCTATGGTTGTTGTTGTTGATGATGAAATAGATCTATAATATCATTGAAACAGATCTGTAACGACTCAGATTTGTACAGATATCACACAAATTTGTAATCAGAAAATTTTCGAATTCTGAACAAGTAATTTTCGAGTTTTAGTTACAGGCGGTGAAAACTGTATAATTTTGCAATTTCAAATTTTTTTTTTGGTGCTGGAATGAATCATGGTTTAAAACTGTAAAATTTTGCAGTTTTATGACATTTTTTAGAACTGTAAAATTTTACAGTTTCATAACATGTTTTAAACATTCCGACGAGTCTCCGGCGATGTTGAACATTCCGACGAGTCTCCGGCAACCGTTTGACGAAAGTCCGACGGTAGTAAGATGTGAACAGTGCCTGTAAATTAAAAAAAAAAAGGATTTTTTGGTAACAATTAAAAATGTATTGGACTAATTGGTGCAAGTATTTTGTTTTGGGATTAGCTGGGTTTTGAACTTAGTACATGAGACTTATCAGTAAGTTCCCCTAATAAAAACAAAAAAACATTAGATCTATAACATTTTACTAAATTTGGGGGCCTTATTTTTGGGCCAAAATTTTGGAGCGTAAGGCACAGGCCTTACTGGCCTTAGGCCAGGGCCGGCCTGGATCCGCCAGTAGATAAAGTTCCAAAAAAAAAAAAAAAATGTTGACAAGTAACAATATAGAATATAAATAATAAAACATATATTTATGTGAAAAAGAAAAGCAATATCTTAAAAATATGCATGTATAATGTCATGTTCTATTATAAATAAATAATATATACTTTTTGAGATTACTAGTTATTGAAGATTTTAGAGCGTAAGGCACAGGCCTTACTGGCCTTAGGCCAGGGCCGGCCTGGATCCGCCAGTAGATAAAGTTCCAAAAAAAAAAAAAAAATGTTAACAAGTAACAATATAGAATATAAATAATAAAACATATATTTATGTGAAAAGGAAAAGCAATATCTTAAAAATATGCATGTATAATGTCATGTTCTATTATAAATAAATAATATATACTTTTTTAGATTACTAGTTATTGAAGATTTTAAAAAATATGAATTATAATTTAAAAAAACATTCAAAATTTATAAAGTTCAAATCGTCAAACCGATTGCATCCATCCGCTAACTCACATGACTAATTTAATCCACATCTATCAAACTGATAGACAAATACAAATTAATTTTTTCAATCTATCAAATTTTAAATAAATAACGAATAAAATGTCCCCAACCCAACTCGCTCCACGATCACCGCTACCTCTACTAATCGGGGCAATAAAAACTTGTAGCAGGACACGGCAAAAGCCACTATCATCCTGGCAATAGCAATGTGCAACAAAACAAACAAAAATCTAGTCGTTAAAATCAAAACAGCTCCCGCATGGACTTAACCGCCCCATTTCCCACCAAAAATCGTCCCCTTGCACAAGTACTACAGAGACATATATACATACATACAATGTAATACATAATTAGGGTTTCATGCTCTGATTCCCTCGCTCGCTAAATCAATCAATCTTCTCTGAATCTTTGATTTGATGCTCATTCAAGCTTATTTGCTGAGAGAGGGAGAATCATGATGTCGATCCAAATGCGCCGCCAAGACTCTTCGGGCAAGTTAGACATGCAATTGATCGGGAATTTTTTGAGCTTTGCATCGAGAGGGGACAGAGTTGGACTGAATCAGATGTTGAGAGAAGGTATATGTCCCAATGTGCAGGACTACGATCAGCGAACTGCTCTTCATCTCGCCGCAAGCGAGGGACACGCATCCATTGTCGAGCTTCTTTTGCAATACAAGGCCGATGTTAACCTCAAAGATCGCTGGCAGCGAACTGTGAGTATCTATCTAGTTCAAATTCTAAGTTCATGGTTTTGTGAGTTTGTTTTATCAATGCCTTTGAATTCTTGGTTGATGACATGGTTATAGGGTGCTTGAATTGTTAAGAGGAAAGGATTTGCAAATTTGTGTTTTGTGTGGAGTGGATATTAAGGCTTGTTTGGGAACGATGGGTTTTAGTGAAAAAGCCGCCACAAGTTGTCAAATAAGAATATATATATATATATATATATAAAATATATTTTTTAATCCAATTGTTCATTCCTGGGAAAGGGAAGAAGCAGATAGAGCAAAGGCCTCCTCTTTCCGTCCGCTCTTCCTGAAGTGAGCGAATTGCAAATCATTCTTTTTTGCATTTTTGGCACCTTTTTTTTTTCTTTTTTATTTTTGTAAATAATTCAAAATCCACTAAAAAGGTCAATTCCCAAACGACCCTAAAATTGTGGTTTGGTTTGTGCTTTTTTATCTGCTTTTTAGCTAGCAAGTCAACAATTTAAAGTTGTTTGTTTTGGATTAAAAAAAGCGTAACAATTGACTCCAAAAAACTACTTTTTTAAAAGATGTTAATCAACTTTTCCAATAACAATAAAAGGTTTTAGCAGACCACTCGACCTGAATTTTGGAGTAATCCTATTTTGGTATTCCTGCACTTTTGACTTGTATATTGTTTTTGCAACTTTCTCTATTCATAGTGAAACCACACCAACCACAACCCTAGTTTTGGAGTGAGCCAGTAAAATTTTATGTGTGTACTTGTGATTTATAGTTCTTTTTCGTGTCTCATTGATTCCTTGGTGTTATGCGATTCCTAACAATGTGAGCTAGATTTTGTTTTGACATATCTCATTAACAATTACAATTTAAGACAATTTTTTTAGTAATAAAAGTGATTCAAAACATGAATTCTTATTAAGTAGCTAGTTGGTATATTTGGAAACACAAATGCAAGAATTATTTGTAATATTCGGGATATTCTGGAATAACCAGAAAACTAATGGAATATGTTGAGTAGAAAAACTTATCTAGTAGGTCCAACCTATATCTATGTGGTGTAGCTTTCCAGTCGTATAGGGCCATGTAGCTACTTTCTTCCACTTTTTCTCCTATTTTTTAGACAAAATAATTATGTGTCCCCTTGCTATGAGGTGGGCACACAGCCGCAGGTCGGACCCACTAAAGAACTTCTCATGGACTTGAGTTGGGACTTGTTTTTTTATTTTTTATTTATGACAAGTTGGTGATGAAAATTAAAAATAAATATATTTTTGAATCATTCCTGTTTGGGACCAATACAATTTGAACCAGCTTAACCATGTTTCTGTATGGTTCAAAATAAGCATACACCATGCATCTTTTGACCTTACAGGTATTATAGGTGACTGCTTTCTTTCTGTTATTTAAATCTAGTAACACCTTTGTGTCAAACATCAAATTTTATAAAGGTAAAGATGTATTTTTTATCCACACACTTATAATTGTTTACTGGTGTATCTACTCTGATGTTGATGGTCATTGATGCTTTCTTTTGATTGTTAATATCAAGCCACTAACAGATGCAAGGCTCTATGGACATCGAGATATATGCAGAATCTTGGAAGTCAATGGAGGGAAGGATTTGATGGATAATAAGCGGATGGTAATTGAATTATTTAAACATACTGCTGTTGTCTTTTATAAGATTCAAGCAATAGATTGAGCAAAGTTGTTAATGTTGAAGTTATTGTTAGAATTAGGAAATAGTGATATTATAATTATGGTAGTGTTGGAATTAGGAAAGAGTGATATTGTAATTATGGTAGTGTGTATAAAATTTATGATTGTGTCAATCACAGATTTAATATATTTTTTTTTATCTTTATTTCCTATTTTGTTTGTTTCCTATTTTGTTCGTTTCCTATTTTGTAATATTGTTTCATTATAATTACAAAGCTCTACCTCATTCATAAGTAAGTCAAATAATTCTTTTCATTCGTTTTGGTATTAGAGCCAAAACACAAAAACCCTAGACCACCCGACAGCCTAACCCCACACTCGTAGACCACCCGAAACCACTTACCCACCCTCTTATACCCCTCGGCAGGACTGTATTACACCTGCTGAGGGCCTTGCTGCTACCAACCAGGTCTCATCCTGGCCTAGAGCACTTCGACTAGGTCTTTCCCTCGCCTAGATCGGTTCGATACCCTCTTTAGGGTGATTTGAACCCTTTTTCTCCCTTTTACAAGGTGTAGTGCTGATGCTTTAAGCACTTTAGCTGTTGAGTTTTTTCGGGCTTTTCTGGTTGTTTACTCGGACTGTGTTGTTGTCTATTTCAGCCGTCATTATCTCCCCATGGATAACTTATCTTCTCCCATTCCTACTGAGGTATCTACTGCGGTCTCCATCAAACTTGTGCCTATTCCAAGCACTGATTTTTCTCATTCCCATTACACTCTTGTTCATCTTATTAGGAGTGTGGTGTTGAATGGGAAAAATTTTGCTGCTTGGACCCGTTCCCTTAAACTCTACCTTGGAGGAAAGGGAAAGACCCATTGGCTTTTATCTACTATTACCCTGCCAGCTGCGACGGAACCTACATGTGCTCAATGCGATATCGATAACTGCACTATATTGGGATGGATGTTCAATTCCATGGAAGATCGAATTTATCATATGTTCCTTTATTGCAATATAGTTCTGAGTTTGTGGCAGGCATTGTCCTAGATGTACGCTCATGCTCACAATGATGCATGTATCTTTGAGCTTTACCATGATATAGCCCGAGCCTCTCAACCCTTTCTTGGCCTTTCTGTAGCTGAATTCTTTGGCTATCTTCAGGCTTGTTGGAAGGAACTTGCTCAATATGAGCCTTTGACTGACCTTCCACCAGAAGCCGCCTCTCTCGTGTCCTAGAGGCTTGCCTGACAGCACACTTATCAGTTTCTCATGGGTTTAAACTCTGAATTTGAATCTCTTTACATTCAGATTCTCAACACATCACCCATGCCATCTCTTTATGAGGCTTTTGCCACTATTGACAGTGATGAGAATCGCCAGCGATTGGCTCAGCCTAGTGTTCCTCCAGTACCTCCAGTTTTAGTAGATCAGATGGCTCTTGCTACGAGTTTTGGTTCTCGAAGCTCCACCGGTTCTGTTACTTGTCATCATTGTGGTGTGCCTGGACATGTCAAAGCTCGTTGCTTTAAACTTCATCCTGAGTTAAGGCAACGCCCTTCCCGACCTTGTCGTCCTGTTACACGTAGTTCTAGCTCTGCTCGCACTGTTGCTTTGGTGAAAGTTACTCCTGCTTCTGAGCCTCCTAATGTCCCTAATCTACAGTAGTTACAGACTCAAATTGGTCAGCTTCAGGTCCAACTTGGGTCTCTTATCACTGGTTCTCGTGGTCCATCATCCTCTACTGCCACCCTTGCTACAAGTTCTTCTACTGCTTTCCATGTTCGGTCTGCTAATCCTTCATGGATTCTAGATTTTGGGACTAATGATCATATGATTGGTGAGTTTTCTTTTCTTTCCTCTCCTGCACCCACCATTGCCCAATCTATATGTCTTGCTAATGGTTCTTGCTCTTCTGTCCAACATAAGGGTGTTGTATCTTTATCCCCTGATATCACTTTATCTTCTGTGTTGCATGTTCCCAAGTTTGCTTATAATCTCTTATCTGTTAGTCGTCTTGCCAAAACCTTTAATTGCGTCATCATCTTCTTACCTTCTTCGTGTCTTTTCCAGGACCTGAGTTCAAAGAGGATTTTTGGCAGGGAATATGAGCGCGATGGGCTATACTACTTTAGGGATCCACCAGATCAACCTTCTTTGCCTGTAGCCAGTTTTCAGGCGTCTGTTTTGCCTGCTTTTATATCTTGTGTTTTTTCTGTTCAAATTTTAAAGTTATGGCACGCCCGTATGGGTCATGTTAACTTTCAATATTTATGTCAACTTTTTCCGTTATTAAATAAAGCTTGCAAGGATTTTAAATTTCATTGTGTTACTTGTGAGTTGTCTAAACATATCCATACTAGTTACATACTACATATGACATGTGCCCCTAGTGCTTTTGACCTTATTCATTCTGATGTTTGGGGTCCCTCTCCTGTTCTTGCTTTTTTGGGCCATCGTTATTATGTGACTTTTATTGATGATCACACTAGGTGCACTTGGGTCTATTTACTTCGCCGCATGTCTGATGTGTTTCCCATCTTTGTTCAGTTTTTGCAAATAATTAAAACACAATTTCGTACCATTGTTAGGAACATCCGCTCTGATTATGGTGGGGAATACATCTCCAATGAGTTTCGTTCTCACCTTAATCGAACAGGTATTCTTCAACAACTTACATGTCCTCGGATCCCTGAATAAAATGGTGTGACTGAATGTAAAAACCATCATATTATGTCTATCGTGCGTTGTTTTCTTCGTGGTATGAGTGTGCCCAAGTCTTATTTGCACATGGCTATTCTTACTGCTGTCTATCTCATTGATCGGACTCCTAGTCGTGTGTTACATGGCCTTACTCCATTCCATATTCTTATGTCTAATACTACCATTTTTTCTTCTTTTGCCTAGTGTTTTTGGGTGTACATGGCATCCCACTCGCACTAAGTTAGATGACAAGTCTATTTGTTGTGTCTTTTTGGGGTATTTTTCTAAGTCTAAGGGGTATAGATGTTTTGATCCTGTGTCTCGTCATTTTCACCACATTCTGGATGTTGCTTTTTGTGAGAATCTTCTTTTTTTTTAGTCCTAACCCCCCGTTGCAGGTGTCCCCTTCAGCTACTCAAAGTGTTCGCCTGGTCCCCATTTTGGATGCGGTTGTGGATGAGATTGCTCCCCCTTTCATTCTCCACCTTCGCCTCTGTCTCCCATTTCCTTGCAGGTATTCTCTCACCACCCTCATGCTCAACCCCCTCTTGCCATCTCTCCGGATCTTGGGTCAGGTAATTCTTCCCCTTTCCATACCTCTCCTTTCCTTCCTCGTCGTAATCTTTCTCGGGATCGCCATCCCCCCAATCGTTGGGGTTATCTGTGTAGTACTAATCATCCCATTTCTCAGTATCTCTCATATGACAGGGTTTTTAATTCATATCATTCTTTTCTTGCAAGCTTGAGTCCGAGTCTATTCCTTGGTCTGTGTCAGAGGCCCTTCAGAATCCACAATGGGTGGCGGCAATGCAGACTGAAATGAAAGCTTTAGAACAGAATCATACTTGGGATTTGGTTTCTTTACCTTCTGGTGAGAGTACCATGGGTTGCAAATGGGTCTTTGTTATTAAGTACCTACCTGATGGCTCCGTTGATCGTTATAAGGCCCGCTTAGTGGCCAAGGGCTTCACTCAAGTTCCTGGCAAGGATTTTGGTGCTACCTTTGCACTGGTTGCCAAGCTTACATCTGTTCGTCTACTCATCTCTCTTGCAACATCCCATTCTTGGCCCCTTTATCAGCTTGATGTCAAGAATGCCTTTCAGCATGGGGATTTTCTTGAGACAATTTATATGGCCACTCTTTCTAGTTTTTGAGTTGCGGGGGAGTATTCGGGACAAGTATGTCGACTACGCAAGTCTTTGTATGGCTTAAAGCAGTCTCCATGAGCTTGGTTCGGTCGTTTCAGCTCAGTCATCATCTCTATGGGCTTTGTTCAGTGCCATTCAGACCATACTTGCTTCATCCGTCGTAATTCTGCAAGTCAGTGTATAGTCTTCTTGGTGTATGTGAATGATATTATTCTCATTGGTGATGACTTTATAGGCATTGATCAAGTAAAATGGGATTTGGGACACACCTTTGATATTAAAGATTTGGGAAATCTCAAGTATTTTCTAGGGATTGAGGTGGCTCGCTCATAGCAGGGGATTTCCTTATCCCAAAAGAAGTACACTCTTGACTTACTTAAGGATATTGTTATGTTGAGGTGTAAACCTGCTTCTACTCCTATGGATCCCAATGTCAAGCTCTCATCAGAGTCCAGTGAATTACTAGAGGATCCAGGTATGTATCAATGTCTTGTTGGGCGTCTCATCTAGCTGACCAATACTAGACCTGACTTGACATTTGCGGTTGGTGTAGTTGGCCAATTTATGTATGCATCTCGTACAAAATATCTTGATGTGGTTCATCACATCTTGAGATATTTGAAGACCTCTCCTGGCTTGGGATTATTCTTCACAGCTGATACTCAATCTAGACTCTCTTGTTTTAGTGATGCTGATTATGCAGGATCTAGAACGGATAGGCGTTCTACTTTTGGCTTCTGTACTTTCTATAGTGATCATCTTATATCATGGAAAAGTAAGAAGCAGTTGTTTCTAGGTCTTCTGCAGAAGCTAAGTATAAGGCTATGACACAAGACACTTGTGAAATTCTATGGTTGTGTTCTATTTTGGCAGAGTTAGGATTTGAGGAGACTGCTCCCGCTTTTTACTTTGTGACAACAATTCTGCTATTATGTTGTCTTCTGATTTTGTCCTGCATGAGCATACTAAGCATATAGACGTTGATATACATTTCATTCGAGAGAAGGTTCGGATTGGTATTGTGAGACCATCATTTGTCTCTTCTCTCAGCAGTTAACATATATGTTCACCAAGTCTGTAGGCCCAACATTACTCTAGTTGTCTATCGGCAAGTTACGTTTATTGAATATCTTCACACCAGCTTGAGGGGGAGTGTTGGAATTAGGAATTGTGATATTATAATTATGGTAGTGTTGGAATTAGGAAAAAGTGATATTGTAATTATGGTAGCGTGTATAAAATCTGTGATTGTGTCAATCACAGATTTAATACCTTTTTTATCTTCATTTCCTATATTGCTTGTTCCCTATTTTGTTCATTTCCTATTTTGTAATATTGTTTCATTATAAATATAAGGCTTTAGCTCATTCATAGGTAAGCCAAATAATTCTTTTCATTCTTTTGTTATTACTCTTACCTCTTGATCAATGTTCAAGTCCCCAATGGGTATTATTCTCCTGAGTTCATATTTCCCTTTCAAATTATTAACCCTTGCAATCTGCAAAGTACTCTTCTTTTATCTAGAGATGTTTCTCCAAGATCAGTAGGCAATGCTTGTTTAAATAGTGTGGCATGTCTTTCAAATTCATCCAATGTAGGAAATGTTCTAAAAGTTGTGTTTCATAATGAAGAAAATTTAAACAGGTCACACAAATAAATGACTGAACTCTGAAATGCTCTAAAAGTTGCATTTCGATCAACATCCTTCTCTATAATGTTAGGAAGGGTATACTTCACCTTCAAGCTGACTGAATTTTCATTTGAAACAAATTATGCCATACAAATTTCACCGTTTAGTTACTTGTGCTTCATTTTTTTTTCAGACAGTTCGTAATGAAGAAGATTCAAATGAAGTGAACATTGATATATCTGAGTTGAATTTGCAGCAATCCTCAATGATCAAACAGGTAATACATATAAGATAGGGTATTAAATAATTAAACAGCTCATTATGATTATTGTTTAATATGCCTTTAGCAGACTAAAATACTCTATGTTCTTTGATATGGCTTCAATTGGAGAAAATTCCATGTGTCAATACACAAACTGCAGCAAATGTAAGTGATTTAAGATTTGTTTTTTGCTGCCACACAAAAGGAATGATGCCATTTTTTCACAATTGGAGCCTCAGTGAGTAGTGTATTCTTCCCCAAATTAATATTAAAATGCAGAAGCTGTTCTTCTCTTGGTTTCCCAACAGTGGATGCATAAAAATGCAGACGTTAATTCTCAAAGTACTGAAAAAGTTCTTGCAAAGAGCCAATAGGCACATTCAACACTATGGAACTGTTATAAAACGCCATGAACATGTACTTGTGCAGACTGTCAGATAAAACGCAACGGGACATGCAACATCATGACACCCGATCTGTGCATCTTGCAGTGCATATCAGTTAGAAACGTAATATTTAGTTCATGAAATCTAACTGAATCAAGAAGTTTTGTTTGTTTTTTGTTATTTTTCTTTTTACATATGTTTTTCATGAGTCCTTGATGAGTAGATTGAGTATTTCTCCATTTATCTGCTTCAAATATTAGCTTATCTGAAAAATTTTATGCACTAAGGGGATTTGACATTCTATGACTCAAACATATGAATATGTATGACACTTAACACATTATGAATATATAAATCTAAGGTATCTAAATGTATTGAGTCTATGTTGTTCCTTGAAGAGTATTGTCAACTGAAAACTCATATATTGTGAATTGTTATCTTCATATGTTTCCTGCCAAATTTATGAATCAACATACATCAATCAATAATACTTCAATTTTAACAGTTTGTGTTTGTGTTACTTCTCAGGGTGCATTTGGCGCGTCTGAAAAGGTCAAGTGGCGTGGAACATGGGTTGTCAAAACAATAATCAAACGACACATATACCATCCTGTAAAAATGTTTGTCTTCTTATACTTTTCCTTGTCTTCCAATTAATGAATCCATATGAGTCAATGGCTTTTGTGTTACTATTTGAGGCACTGATGACCATTTGCTTTTGCACTTAATTACAGGGTGCTGTCTGCTACAGATAATACTCTTTTAAGGGAGCTTCGACATCCAAATATTTTGCAGTTTCTTGGTTCAATTGTGCAAGGTGAAGAGATGATCCTCATTACAGAGTATTTGTCAAAAGTAAGTACTTATTACTGTACTGTATTGTCCTATATATATTTGAATTGTCATTGATATATGTCAAATATTTGTGAAATATATAAATTGTTTATTTTTGAACCAGAATCCTTGTCATTTCTGTGGTTGATTTACAGAATTAAACATAGAGATATTTTTTTTTGTCTATTTTCTCTTCTTCTTCTTTTTCTCCCTATCTTCACATTGTTTTTAATTTTTATAATTTTTTTTTTATGAATTCTTCTTTTACTTCTTGAAATATTTTGCATTTAACAATTTTCTACAACATGGGTAAACATAACGGATTTCATATCTATTGTTCTTATTGAAGTCTTGATTTTTGACAAACTAGAAAGTGAAACAGAATTAATGTCGAGAACAAATATTAGGATGCACTTCGTTTGACTCTATGTTTATAGTTGTCGGATGAACTTTAGAAATCTTTAGAGGTTTGAAGGTTTGCATGCTTGATTATTTATTTTTTAAATTTTTTATCGATAGTATTTTGTTTGATATTGCTGAATAATTTGAATAAATTCCAAGAGTATCGTTTGTTTCTCTATTTACAAACAAAAAAAATCTAATGATTTCTCTCCTCGCAGTTCGGGAAATCCATGGCTGTGTTTGGTGAAGCTCTCAAATCATAATTTCACCCCTCCATTTGCACCCTCTGTTTAGATAGAGTTTTAAAAATGTGATTCCACCACACATTTTAAAACATATTTCTCTTTCACATTTGGCATATCTCTCTCTTTTGTCTTCTCCATTCTGAAAAGCGGGGGAGTTTTTGAATTTTGTGTTTACCCGGTCATCCTCCCGGACGTCCGGCCTATTGACTGGAACAGTGTAATTATTATTATTATTATTTTTTTTTTTTGCAATTGCCAATCGCCACCTGTTGTTTGGAAAAAAAAAATATTATATTTGTTTTTGATATTTTTTAAATATAGAATTTATTTTTTTTACACCAAAATGACTACTTATTTTTTTGAATTGAATGTTAAAAAGAGTTTGGTTATGAGTTTTGAATAGAATTTGAAATAGAGTTTTGAGTTGTGCATTTGGTTATGAATTATAACTTTTTGAATTAAGTTCTAAAAACTCTTTTCAAAACTCATAACCAAACAAATTTTCTCAATTCATATGTTACATTAAAAATTCAAACCTTAATTCAAAACCCAATTCAAAAATCTTTTCAAAACTCATAACTACACAAATTTTCACTTTTCAAATCATAATTCCAAAACTTATGAACTTAAGATACAACTCTATTCTCAAATTATAATTCTAAAACTCTAACAAACGCAATCCATGTTTTTTTCCTTTCCTTTTTCTTTATGTAAGTTTCAGGTTGCACAATGAAGCTGATTTTGATCATTAATGTAATTTTGCTATTTTTCTCTATCTGCTATTCAAGGGGAACTTGGATGATATTTTGACCAAAAAAACTCGCCTTGACCTGCCAACTGCTCTGCGCTATGCACTTGACATTGCTAGGTATTGTGCTTTTCTTCCTTTGAACTCAAATTGTTAAGAAGCAAATTGATGGAATGAGAATTACAATCCCATGATCCATGAATCATGGGATTCTAATTCTCATTCCAACATCACTTTGCTGATTCATATTCCTTATGCTTGTTTTGGCATATCTTTCCATTTTAAATGTTAATTAGCCTCAGATTCTTAAATCAATTTACAGGGGAATGAATTACCTTCATCAGCATAAGCCCTTTCCCATAGTTCACAATCACCTGGATCCCAGGTAACCTCCATTTCATTATATATCTGATGGAGATTATCTGAAGATTGTTTGTTTTACCCATTTTATACCGTTCTATAGAATATTAATAATTTGTCTTTTGTTTCACTACTTTCCTTCCAATTAATGAATCCATATGAGTCAATGGCTTTTGTGTTACTATTTGAGGCACTGATGACCATTTGCTTTTGCACTTAATTACAGGGTGCTGTCTGCTACAGATAATACTCTTTTAAGGGAGCTTCGACATCCAAATATTTTGCAGTTTCTTGGTTCAATTGTGCAAGGTGAAGAGATGATCCTCATTACAGAGTATTTGTCAAAAGTAAGTACTTATTACTGTACTGTATTGTCCTATATATATTTGAATTGTCATTGATATATGTCAAATATTTGTGAAATATATAAATTGTTTATTTTTGAACCAGAATCCTTGTCATTTCTGTGGTTGATTTACAGAATTAAACATAGAGATATTTTTTTTTGTCTATTTTCTCTTCTTCTTCTTTTTCTCCCTATCTTCACATTGTTTTTAATTTTTATAATTTTTTTTTTATGAATTCTTCTTTTACTTCTTGAAATATTTTGCATTTAACAATTTTCTACAACATGGGTAAACATAACGGATTTCATATCTATTGTTCTTATTGAAGTCTTGATTTTTGACAAACTAGAAAGTGAAACAGAATTAATGTCGAGAACAAATATTAGGATGCACTTCGTTTGACTCTATGTTTATAGTTGTCGGATGAACTTTAGAAATCTTTAGAGGTTTGAAGGTTTGCATGCTTGATTATTTATTTTTTAAATTTTTTATCGATAGTATTTTGTTTGATATTGCTGAATAATTTGAATAAATTCCAAGAGTATCGTTTGTTTCTCTATTTACAAACAAAAAAAATCTAATGATTTCTCTCCTCGCAGTTCGGGAAATCCATGGCTGTGTTTGGTGAAGCTCTCAAATCATAATTTCACCCCTCCATTTGCACCCTCTGTTTAGATAGAGTTTTAAAAATGTGATTCCACCACACATTTTAAAACATATTTCTCTTTCACATTTGGCATATCTCTCTCTTTTGTCTTCTCCATTCTGAAAAGCGGGGGAGTTTTTGAATTTTGTGTTTACCCGGTCATCCTCCCGGACGTCCGGCCTATTGACTGGAACAGTGTAATTATTATTATTATTATTTTTTTTTTTTGCAATTGCCAATCGCCACCTGTTGTTTGGAAAAAAAAAATATTATATTTGTTTTTGATATTTTTTAAATATAGAATTTATTTTTTTTACACCAAAATGACTACTTATTTTTTTGAATTGAATGTTAAAAAGAGTTTGGTTATGAGTTTTGAATAGAATTTGAAATAGAGTTTTGAGTTGTGCATTTGGTTATGAATTATAACTTTTTGAATTAAGTTCTAAAAACTCTTTTCAAAACTCATAACCAAACAAATTTTCTCAATTCATATGTTACATTAAAAATTCAAACCTTAATTCAAAACCCAATTCAAAAATCTTTTCAAAACTCATAACTACACAAATTTTCACTTTTCAAATCATAATTCCAAAACTTATGAACTTAAGATACAACTCTATTCTCAAATTATAATTCTAAAACTCTAACAAACGCAATCCATGTTTTTTTCCTTTCCTTTTTCTTTATGTAAGTTTCAGGTTGCACAATGAAGCTGATTTTGATCATTAATGTAATTTTGCTATTTTTCTCTATCTGCCTGTTGCACCTCATTTGTCCTGCTCTGCAGCCGGTGCGACAAGTTTGTGACCGCAGTCATGGTCTCCACACATGACTTCAGTGTATATTGATTGGCTTCAATATCTGTTTGCCCCGCCATTTTTTGCTCCACAGACCGCATCGGAAAGTTCAACGGAGCAAAACCAGCGGTGTTTGGTTGAGGTTCACTGGCCACCGCACCAGTTATTTCTCTTGTGGACTCGTTTAGTTCTGGAAAGAGCGTGAGCAGACCACGGGGAGAGGAGGCCATGTTCTGGGTAGCTGGACGGGAAGAAGAGGCCATGTTGCTGTGTGTTTCAGAGACGGGTTGGTTACAGAGTATTACAGAGTTTCTCTCTCAGCAAAGGAAGAGTTTTTTCAGAGGATTTTCAGAAGTTTTTTGTCTGCCTCAGCCTCAGCATTAACCTTGGTTAAATAGCGAGACAGCCACGCGTATCGCGCGCCCTTGACGCCAGACGACAAACGGGCGCGCCAGCCAAGGCACTCACGTGCCTCGCCATCATGTCCGACACATCTTTTTATGACTTATGCTCGCCTTTTGATAGCACGCCTTTTGAAAGATTGGGCACACCTTTTGAGGGTGCGACTTTTTAAGGATCCGACAAGACTCTGTAAACTGTCCCGACATAGATTCCGGTTAGTTTCTACAACGGTCCGACATGACCCCATAAACTGTCTTCTACATCGGTCTGACACCGCCATCCAGTGTCCTCTACACCGTTATGACACCCCTATACAGTGTCCTCTACAACGTTATGACACCACCATCCAGTGTCTTCACCAATGGTCTGACACGACCATACAGTGTCTCCTATCCTCTTTTATTTTTATGTATTTTCTTGTTTTGTTACTCTCTCCAAACTCAAGTTGGTTAGTTTCTATCCTCCTTGAGTTTGCGGGGGGCTGTTAAAATTTACCATCACCTACCACCACCTACTCCTCACCTACTCCTCACCTACTACACTCACCCTCTCCTATATAATGAGCCACTCACCATTTGTAATATATACAAAAACACAATATCAATCAATAATACAATTCTCTATTTCTTTTTAGACATCAATTTTAACAGAAATGATCTTGCTTGACTCCAAATATGTATCCGTGAGAGAAACACTTTACACTTGAAGCATATTGTTTATAAGACGGCAATGTCGATAGAAAAGTTCCATTTTTTTTTTCCTTTCTAGATTGGGCACCTTTTCCCCCTATCATTTGATTTTAAATCAAACTAATTTAAGTTGAAAAGTACATTCAATTAGTTTTATAAGCAAATAGTTGTTTCTCCTCATAAGTGGTTACACTCCTGTCATTCCTTTAAGGCATTTATTTTTCCAAAAGAATTGAGGTTGTCCAGACTTTTGTTCGTTGGGATGCAGAAACTTGTTGCATGATGAAGGTGGCCACTTAAAGATTGGTGAATACTGGGTCCAAATGCTGTATGAGCGGATACACCCAAATCAAGAGAGTCGTATGTTGCCATTGCTTCAGTCTATTGTGAAGTTTGTCCTTCTAAGATTACAACTTCATCTAGTGATCTCTGTTTTGTTTCACAGGCCAAAGAAATAACAGTTCACCAAATGACACAAACAAGGATATCCGTTCATTTGGATTCATATTTCATCAGGTATATAGTACGTTAAGTTATTTAATATGACATTGTTTGTTTTTTATACTCATCCTTTTCATTTTACTAGTGGTGGTATACACGGGCGTTGCATGTGGTATTTGTAATTATATTTTTGAAATGGAAAACTTTATGATAATATAAAGGAAATAGACATTAGAAAAATAGTGTTTCATAGTGAATTTATAAACTATGTAGATTTATCAACCAAACACAAAACAGTATTTTGTAGTAGATGAGAAAAGTAAGAGGTTCGGTATTAGAAAGCTATAAAACCACTGATATAAAGTAAATGAATGATGTACAAATGTGATTTGAGCGATGAATAACCAAGTAAAAATTGTAAGAAAGAAGAAACTTAAACCCATAATTTATCGAGAATCCTGATAAATGATCTAGATTTAATTCTTAAATGATTGGTCCTACTTCTAAAATAAATCTCAACCACGCATGTATTTTCTAGTAAAAACTTTGAGTTTGTAGAAGTCCTCGTGACAAATACAAATGTGTGTTATCAAAAAGTAGTTGGATTCTCTCCTCTACAATAAACGTAAGTAAAAATTCTATATGTGAAAAACAACAAAAAACTTACACCTTCTATAGAAGATAAAGGGCTTGTTTGGTTTATATTTGAGAAACATGTTTTGAGATAAAAAGTACGAAAATTTGTTTGGTTGATTTTTTTTCAAAAGATGTTTTGAAAAATTATTTTGAGAGAGAGTTTTGGAAAAAGTGATTGATTTGATGTGTATGAGAGAGAGATTTGTTTGGAAAACTTGTAAACCAAACATGTTTTGGAAAAAAATTTTGGGAAAATTTGTTTGGTTTGATTACTTTTGAAAACTTATTTGTAGAGAATTTTTCCCAAAATTTTTTCAGAAACACAAACCAAACAAGGCCTTTGTCTCTCAATGAATAGATTTGTCTGTTCAATTTAATTTTGTAATGATTTGTAAGAGCCTGACTATTCGGTTTATATAAAAAATACTAATTTTTAGCTTTTAAAATTAGGATTGAGTTTAAATTTGAGAGAACTTGACGGTCTCGTGGGGCTCACCAAAAGTTTTGTTTCGATGATTCAAACTGTTCATTTTGTAGAACCCTCAGTGTATATTATTCATAGAAAAAATTAGATTGATCTGATAAGCATAACATTTTTATTTTATCACGTGTTTCTAAAAAAATAGACGGCAAATATATTTTTAAAAATAAACTCTTTTTTTTAGACAATCATGATAAAATTTACACGGAGGGTCATACAACAAAATGAACAATTTAGATCATTAAATAAGAACTTGTGGTGAGCCTTACCAGCCTATCAAAATCTATCAAGTTTATAGTTGAATTTAGATTTGAATTTTTGAAGAACTCAACCATAAAATTATGTACTATGAAAAATGCTGGAGATCCACAATTTTATATCTACAATTTAGTTACAACAATGTGGCAAGACAATTAGATACTATATCTACTACTATAATTAAGTGTGACAAATTAAAAATTAACATATATTAGCATCAATTATGCCACATCATTATGGATTAAATTAGAGAATTTTTTTAGGAGTTTCGAATATTATTATTATATGAAGTTTTCTAACCGTAAAGCAACCATTCACAAAAATTAAGAAGTCTTAATGCCTGTGGCTACATGGTGCCTGTGGCTGTTGCTATGTGTTGCCTTTTCAGGGACAACGTGTTGAGAAGGGTATTTTGAAAATATGAAAAAGTTGAAAACAAGTGAGGGGTATTTTGAAAATATGAAAAAGTAAAAAACAAGTGAGGGTGCTCACACTTTTAAAATAGTAGTAGAAAACGAGGTGTATTTTAGGAATATGAAAAAGTAGAAAACAAGTGAGGGTGCTTGAAAAGTCATAAATATAGCTCAGAGTTTCATGCATATCAACTTCATGGTCGATGTCCGATACGTAATATGTTGTCATGCATCACATTTGGAAGTTCAACAAAGTAACAAACCATTCAGATGGATGACATTACAAATCTAGTAAATTTTAATTATGGACTTATGTTGAAGCCCCCAATGGTGCTAATTCCCTTTAGAAAATGTTCTTCACATGAAATTTCGTTGGGTATGGCATTGGGAACCTGGGTTCAAGCATCTCTCTAACCCATGAATACAAAAAACACCCAACACTTTCCAATTAAGTACATAGGACAATATATTTAATAGAAATGATAGTACTCTTGCCATTATTCATACTGGAGGGGCAATATTTTGTAAGATTGTTTACTGTTTCTCTCGCTTCTTATTGAAAAGAAGGAGCATATTTAATTTTAGTTATCTTAGATATAATTATGTTTGATTATATGTAATTTCTATTTACATTTGTAAAACAAATGTTGTACAGATGCTAGAAGGAAGGCACTTTACCAATGAGAACTTTGACTTCATTCATCTGATGTCCATTGATTTTGAACCAAAGTTCAGTGTGAGTCGGTGTCCTGGAAGAATCCAACAGTAAGTGAACTCTTTCATCTTGTTTATGTTATATTTTTCTTTGAAAGATACTAGATTAGTTGAATTTGCATGCTCATAATAAGTGAAGACTTAAGAAGCATCTAAAATCACAAAAACTTCTTGGCATTTTAACATGTTCATATATTTTAACTGTATGCATTCATTCATTGGAGAGAGATGGTAGACTGCGACAGAGATTGATTTGCCATATCTTTTTAATTATATGAATTAGTTGATGCAGCACAAGCAGGAGAAAACAAGAAGAAAAGAAGAGAGAAGAATTAGAAACAGAAGAGAAGGAAAGAGAAGCTCATGGGGAGTAGTCCCAGTTCAATACTCGAATCATAGTATCCAAAACCTATTACATATAAGGCTATTTATAGGCATCTAGGAAAACCTAATTAAAGTTACCCAAAAAAAAAGCTACAATAATAAAAAGCCCAAGTAAGCAATAAAACTCAATAAATTTAAAATAATGCCAAAATAAATCATTAAATTCCAAAATATTCAATTTGTCTTTATCCAATTCCTTCACGACCTCTTCATTATTAGTACTCAATGCTGTGATGAAGTAAAAATTGGTCGATTGTTTGGTCAATTACACTGTAGTAATAATAAGGTTCAAGGACTCACATTAACCAAGGTTGATTGTGTGCGACTAGTACAGCCTGTAATGAGCCCATTATTCGTATTGTTGGCCCCAAATATTTGACACAAGGAAATTTGAGTCCTACTTCTTAGATGATACTTCTGTTTTTTTGTTCTATTGACCCGAAAAAAGAAAAGAAAAGGAAAGAAATTAAACAACCATATCAATGTTAGAAATTAAACAATCATATGAGCTTTTATCCACTAGATGTGAAATAAATCATGCTTCTTGTTATACTATTGCATGTTCAATCTCAAACAGCAGGCATTCTCCATTTAAAGAGGTCGGACATGCCTTCTTTCGTCACATATTCTCAATATGTGTAGCTGTTTGGTGATTTTTTGCAGGTTGATAGAGGATTGCTGTAGCAAAGACCCTTCTGAAAGGCGTTCATTCGATAATGTCATAGAAATCCTAGAGGAAGTTTGTTTAGGAAAAGGCCGTTGCCCCGTTTGTTGAGCATTTTCTCCGCTGTAGATAAATAAGAAAACAACCGAATATGAAAAGATGATTGAATCTTTCAATGGTGTGCTCAACAGTCCTCTCAATAAACTTCAGGTGGTGATATTGTTTATAATGCTTCTTGTATAAAGGAAAATACTTTTGCTAGATCTTCTCAACCTTTTGTGAAAATCTGACAATGTCTTTCACCTTGTATTAGTAATCTGGCTACTATGAATTTCCCTCTCTCTTGGAGAAAAAAATGGACTGTAATTTATGATCTTGATCTCTTAACGTTGGTTGGTATTGTTTTATCATTTTCATTTTCATTTTCATTTTCATTTTCATTTTTGGTGTTTTCAGGAATAAAAACTAAAAATAATAAAAATTTGAAAACACCAATTGTCTTCATTTCTGTGCAAAACATTTTCTGAAAATGTGAAACGACCTTTTTGGTGTTTTTTGAGGGAGTCTACTCTTCTGTCCTCTTAGATAGTACACCAATTCAATCTCAACAACTACTCAACATTTTTCTTTACAAAAGTTTTACTCAAAAATATACGAAGTTTTCAAACTTGATGATGAACATCTCTTTTGGATGTTTCTAACTGAAAGAAACTGTCAGAGGATGTTTCTTGTGGGTTACATGCAATGCTTATTTTCCAACCTCAACATGACTGCCAACCCCAAGGTCTTGCAGCTTTGTATCACATACCCTTTGAGGTTTATTAAAGCAAAACAATGTAAAATGAAAAAATAAACCTTGATGTTATGTTTGTTAAAGGGGGAAAAAAAAAGAAAGACTTTTTGACAAATAATTTCATTTTTATCTCATATATTACTAACACAACCAAATAAATAATTAAATTTACTTAATTTTTTAAAATTTTTATTTCCTCCATTTATTTTTTAATAAACTGAATGAAAAATAATAATAAATCAAAATAATATAAGGAGAATCAATGGGATTAGTTTGCTGGTTAGAATTTTAACACTTTATTAGGAGGTTAAAAGTTTAACTCTGTTTATTTCCTGTGTTTGGTAACTTTTAAAAAAGTTAAATTTTCTTTATGGTAAAATTCTTGTAATTTATGTCAACATATTTTATATTAATTACACTTTTCATCCTTGTAATTTGATTAAAATTTCACTTTAATTCCTATAGTTTCAATTTGAATAATTTGATCCGTATACTCTAAGTCTAGTTTTAATTTGGTAATTTCATCTAAATTGGAGGTTAAAATAACAATTTTGGGACGATTTTCGATTTTTTAAGATTTTAATTTGGTTCTTTGGTCTAAATTTGAGATTAATATTAACAATTTTGGAACACTTGTTAGTTTTTTAAGATGTACATGTAAATAAAATTAACAAAAATTTACATGGAAGGACTAAATTAAAACTAAATTTAAAGGGTAATGACCAAATTATTCAAATTAAAACTATATAAGGACTAAAGTAATTTAGATCAAACTAAGAAAGTAAAAAGTATAATTAACCCAAAAGTTTAACTTTTCAAACTCATCTAGTCTAGTTTAGAAAAAATTTTAATTTTTTTTTTTAAAAATTGTCATTTGAGTTTTTCCTATCTTTAGTAAATTTTCAAAAATATAAAAAAACGAATACTCTTCTTTCTTTTTTTTCTTTTAATTTTTAAGGGTTTGAGGCTAATAAAAAATTTTAATTTAAAAAAATTATTAAAAATAAAAAATATATAAATTAAAAATGCAATTATCAAATTTGGAAAATGGGTTGGAGGTTAAAATAGCCAATAAAAATAAACAAAATATCATATTCAAACTATAATCATTTTACATTTTCCCTTACAACTATCAAATCAACTATCATCCCAAAGATAACTTTTTTAATTCGGTTAAAATAACTAAAAAACATTAAAAAACAAACTAAAATACCAAACATCAAGGTTTGAGAATTTAGTATTGTACAGAAAGATGAAACATAGTTGATTTGATATACATATACATATACTCTCTCGATTGATCGATCGGAACTGTGGAACAAAAAGATCTGAGTCAGAGTGACGATGCGGCTGGCAATATAATGGATGATGAGTTGCCCCCATTGCCAGTGCGACAAACTCAGCTGACTGACACCCACCACCGCCCCCCATCCCTACCACCGCCTCTTTCCAACAATTTTAATATAAATGGTTTGAAAGAGTATTTATTGGGTAGGATTTATGGTTTGAAAGAGTATTTATTGGGTAGGATTTATGTCAAAACTGTCAAATTTATATTAAAATAATTCAATTTAAAAATAAAAATTTGAGTGCAAAATCTAAAAATCCGACATATTGCTATCACAGGCAGACTATAAATATATTAAATATACACATAAAATATGGACAGTTTGATGACACTAGATTGTTAGATTAACTCAAGTGTATATGTCTCATATCTCTCGACTATGTGTCTTTACTTGTATAAATTTTGACATTATATGTAGTGCCATAGTAATGTTTGTTACATTGTTAAGTTATTTTGGTATATATATTGATTTGTTGTGTTATTATATTATTGCAAGTTATTTGTTTTAATTAATATTTGTCATAAAAAAAAAAATATTAGTAGTGTCCAAGTTTAAAAAAAAATAAAATGAAATATCCATCTAGGGGAAAAAAAATCACACAATAATTATCTAAAGCTCTAAAAACTGAATAAAGTTGTCACATAATAATGTTTGCATAAAGAAGCATTTCCTAATTCCAGCACAAGCACAGAGCGTACTGATAATATCTTAATTAGGTTTTGGCCGATAAATCTCTATCAACCAAGCTTGCAATTAAAAAATTTAAATTAAATTATTTGCATAATCCTAACCTAACAACCAAAGCTTGCAATTAAAAAATAAAAAATTAAAAATATTTGTATAATCCGATTCCTAAGTTGAATAAACAATGAAAACGGAGTATGAGGGGATGGGTCCACACGGATTTAACATAGGAAATAATAATAATAATTCATAAAATCATATAATAAATTAAATAAGAAATTACAAAAAAAACTTAAGATTTGAATAATGTAACAAAATAAATTTTAAATTTTAAATTCTATCAATTTAAATTGTAATATTTTGATTTGTTTTCAATCTAAATTATTTGATTATTTTCGTTAAATAAAATTGTTTAAAAATATATATTTTAGTCATTAAATTCAATGCAAGTGTATGAAAAATATCTAAACTACCAATTTTTATTGAGTTTAATGACTAAAATATATATTTTTCAATAATTTTACATCACAAAAATAGGAGAATAGTTTAGATTAAAAAAAATCAAAAAATTAGAATTTAAATTAACAAAATAAAAAATTTATTTAATTACAAACTCAAACTCTGATTTATTTATTTATAATTTTTCCTAAATGTAAATTATAAGAACCACACAACAACTAGATATAATTTCCATGCCATTTCATTGCAATGCTTATGAATTTTCATCATCAGTTTCGGACTTTACCAGAACGCGGACTCGGAGACAATGCACGTTGTCAACCCACCCATTCCACTCATTTCGCTCCCAGTCCAAACACAACTGTCTTCGAATCTTCTACTCTTACTTTTTCTCTCTCTCTCTCTCTAGAATTCCAAACCAGACTTTTTCCAATCCCCCAATATTTACTTGCACAACTCTCTCTCCCCCATCCACATCTCCATCCCACTAACTTTGAAGACACAGTCCTCTCTCTCCAATCCTTGTTACCAATTCCTCTTTATACCTTCTCCTCCTCTCCTCCAAGGTTTCATCCCAACTCTTCTCTCTCTCTCTCTCTCTCTCTATTAAACCACCATCTTCTCAATTCTCTTCCACTGACTTTGAAGACAGTCTTCTTCTTCTTCTTCTTCTTCTTCTTCTTCTTCTCTCTGAATATGGGAAACTACATCTCTTGCACCCTATCAAGCCCAGGAGGCAAACACTGCAGAGCCCCAAAAGTAATCTTCCCATCAGGCGAAATCAAACAACTCCACCAACCTGTAAAAGCCGCGGAACTCATGCTAGAGACCCCCAACTTCTTCGTGGTGAACTCCACGTCACTCCAAATAGGTCGGAGATTCTCCGCTCTCAACGCCGATGAAGACCTCGAGATTGCCAACGTTTACGTGATGTTTCCCATGAAGAGACTCAATTCCATGGTCACTGCTGCTGACATGGGGGCCTTGTTCCTCACGGCAAACTCCGCCGCCAAAAACATTAGGGTCTTGCCGGAACCACAAAAGATGGAACAAGAAGAAGCTGTGCCCAAGCTGAATGTTGATGATATTGAAGAGTTTTCAATGCCGGAGTTCAAGCACAGGTTGTCCATGTGCAGGTCGAAGAAGCCATTGTTAGAGACGATTGTAGAAGAACCAGTTTGTTTCAGGTGATAGGCAAAATGGGAAAGAATAGACATATATATATATATAGTATATCTAGAGGACTATACCAAGTGTTTTGGGTTAAATATAAATATACACTGTTTGATTCTCAAAATATCCGCACAGTTCCATTTTGATTCTCGTATTTTGATTTATTCAATTTATGTTTAAATGGTTTAGTGTCGTTTCCATTCAAATTTAGACACAAATAACGCTATTTTGGTTATGAAATTTGGATAAAAACAACATTAGTGATATTTAAACATAAATTTAATTGAATTGAAATTTTGAAAATCAAAACGAAACCCAATGCATATTTTAGAGACTAATAGCATATTTCACCCTAATGTCTATACGAAAGCTATGAAGGAAGGAGCTTGTGCTTGTTGTGTAATACAGTGATTGGATTGTATTATTGTAATCTTTGTTGGGATATGAATAGGAATGGCAACGGGGCGGGGCGGGGGACTACACTCCCCATCCCCAATCCCCGAAGGTGCTAAATTCCCCGTCCTTGCCCCCGGTCTCGATCCCGATCCCGATCCCCGACGGGGAAGCGATCACCGGCCCCGCCCCCGCCCCCTAACGGGGATCGGGTTTCCCCGACCCTAGAAATTCCCTGACCAAAAAAAAAATAAAATAAAATAAAATCAGTCCCAAATCTGATTAAAATTTCAATCCCAAAAAAATTTCAACCACAGATTCATATTCAACAACAACAAACAAGATCAGATCATCATCATCAACAGATTTAAATTAAAAAAAAAATAATCTGAAAACCTAACAGATCTAAATTAAAAAAAATAATCAACAGATTTAAATTAAAAAAAAAAATCTAACAGATTCATCATCATAATCTGAAAATCTCAAGATCTGAGTACAGGGAGAGGCTGCGGCGAGGTCGACTGTGAGAGGCTATG